TGATCAGTGCTTCTCTACCACTTTATTCCTGGCTGTTTAGAAAGCTCCTTGGTCTTCATGGTTGGTTTGTTGTATCACTATGTGAGGTTGTCTTGAACTGCATTTACTTTGAAGTCAAGTTAAACCACTTTGATTACACACAGACAGAGCTCATTACACTAATTTTGTGACCTTTCAAACTAATCTTTTGCACCTGAACTGATTTAGAGTTGCTGTAGCAAAGGGGTTGAATACTTATGCAGTTGAGAATATTCTAATTTTCTTTGAAAATCTAACTTGTGGAAGCTTTGTAGGGGGGTGATTACTTTTGCAAGGCACTGTATTTAAAACAAGCAATAAAAAAACTAGAAATATCTAGCCCTGTGGTAACCATAATATTAAACATAATGAGAACAACTTAGAAGCTTCGAGCAAGATAACATCAACAATATTACAAAAGCCTAGTACAACAGTTAAACTACATACACAATGTACGACTCTTATAGAGTTATGTAGCGAAACTTATCATAACTATCACTTTTAAAGTAATTAACTTTTAACACTCTTGTTATGAAAACAAAATAATGATTAAATATTCAATCATTAAATAATAACTTAACCCAATTTTATGGGTAGCTAGGGGTCAGAGGGTTTGTCTTCATTTTTGGAGACTTGCATTCAAATTTTATTGAACTATTATTTTATGAATGTATGTCAAAAAACTTGGTATCAAATTGTAGATTTTAATTCAGATTTTAGTATTATACATTAGTTAATTTCTTAATTTGAAAAAAAATATAAAACAATTGCTAAATATCGATTTTTGTGTGTCACACTGATCCGTCATTTTCTGGGTTTGGTCAGATTACATTTTGTGATGTCCACAGTACAATGTCTGTAGCTTCTTATGAATTATAAACTCAAATTTCTGATACTGGCAAGCTAGAATGTAAAATAAGAACCTCCTCCCTTTTCTATTTACTGAAATATCATAATATTTATTGAATCCACTATATTGGCTCTGCCCACCACTTCATTGTTTGAGAAGACTTGTTTATATATGCCTGCTTTTTTATACCTATAAGCTTATAAACAATCAAAAGCTGTACATTTCCTCTACATATTTCTGTTAGTTTTTCTAAGTTATTTATGAGAGAAAAGCTCTTATATTGTTGGAGAGTTTGAAGTATTATGACCAATGCTATTTTCCAAACAGACATTAGATTTTTTTAGACAAAAATACAGCACAGATGAGAAGCCTGGTAAATTAAAATAGATTTTTGTGGTATTGGTATAGTCATTTATAATTTTTTTGGTATTCAAAAATGCATATGTAAAGTCTATAAAAATTATTGATTTCAACTTTGACGTGAGTTTTGACAAGGCTTATGATGAGGGTTAACAAGTACGACTCACGAGTACAAAAAAGAACTTCAAAACATCATAAGTAGTGGAGATCATTGTTTTTTGAGTATTTTTTATTTACTGTTCTATGTTTTAAGAAAACTTAAATATTTATTTGTAGATAGTAATATTAATAATAATAATATATATAAATATACACACACATACACACACACATATGTATGGTAACCCAAACCTCACTGTACCATACATAATATTGGAAACTAAGCATTTACTGGTCACTGTGTAAGCATGATAAAATAGAAAACAGGATGTTCATAAGCACTTTCACACCTCTACCACCTCTAAATCCTGACCTCCTAAATTTATTGGATAGGATTCGACTTTGTACAGAGCCATGTCAAAAATTTTATCTCTCACTTTTATAAAGTACTTTAGACAATTCTTGTTACAACCACTGAACTGGAAAGAAGTCGGTAAATTCTACCCCACTGTATTCTCAGAGCTGCAATTTGAATACTTTCTATAGGATACTTCTGCTTATTGACTTATTGGATTGGCTCAGACTTTCTACAAAATTATAACATAAACATTTTATAATACTTGATACAATTGTCATTGTAACCATTATATTGTTAACAAATTGATAAATTTTACCCCACTGTGTTTTCAAAGTTCTGGGAATTGCGCTGTATGAGCGTATTTAATATTGATGGTGTCAAAGTGCTCAAATTACGCTAACACCTAAACATGAATGGTGATTCATTGCTTTATATTTGGTAGATTTCTACTTCAGCCACTAACAGTAGAATAAACAGAGGAAATAAGTGTAAAAAGTTTAAAGAAACTCTAGAAGGTTTGCTTTGGAACTCTGCTGTCCATACTGAAAAGAACAGAATACTATTCATTTTGTTTCTTCTAGTTTCTAAGCCATCTGCTAGCAATAAAATAACTAGAGAAAATAAGTGAGAAATAGTGTAAACTCTGACCATAAGTACTTTGAAATTTTGTGATCAAAATAGCAATATTATACATTTTATTTTGCATTTGCATCCTTTATTTTCATCATACTTTGATTACTTACCTACAACCTTGAGAATCAAGTATAATGTTACAGCAAAGAAAATAACAAAATATAAAACTTTACTAAAAATAAAAATGTTTGATATTTAATTACGAGGTTTTTTAATTTTTCATTTGTTTTCACTATTTATTATTATAAAAGTAACTAAGATAATAAAAATAGAAACTTAGTTGGTAAGATAATGTTGTATGTTATTCTATAGTAGCATCAGCTGAACATGTGTCGTGTAATTTTCAACTTGTGTCAAGAGGATTTTTAGTCGGACACAGTTCAAAGGTCAATAAAACAAAAATTAATAAACATAAATAGATGTATACTGTTACGAGATTTAAGCTATTTAGAATAAACATTTGTGATTTCCTGTTACAATTTGCAGTTATTCTAGAAGAAAAAAGGTAATTTAGATTTATTTCAACATTTTTATGATGGTGACAAAGTTGGTCAAATTGACAACACCATTTTGAGTTAATATTAATAAAATAATAGATTAAATATAAAGTTTTATCCAAAAAAAATTGATAATTATCTAGAAGGATATAGAGATTATGTAAATGAAATTTCACAAATTTCAGATAAAGAAAAGTATTTTTAATCTTCAAATCAAAATTATTTTGCATGTTGGATAGTCAACATGCTGAAAGTAAAAGGTCATGAGCAAAAATATTTAATAACAAAAATCTCAGTACTTAATTTAAAAACCCCAATATTTTGTGTACAATATGTAATGTTTGCTAATAATCTACAGAGTTTTGTAAAGATTCACATATATTATAAGAATCATAGTACAATTACTATCATGGATACTTTCATGGTTACGAGCTAGGTGGATTCCACCCAGTCCTTATTCATAGGGTTAAACTGAACAGTCTTGTATATCCAACAGCAATTATCTGTTACAGTCTTGAATTATTCTAGATATAAAAATTCTATTATTGGTTTGATTTCATATTTTTAAACATTTCCATATACAGTAATAATTTCACTACAGTTAATGTTGAGGAAGAAAAGAGATAAAGGCTCAAGTTGATTTATTTAGAAGGTTCTATAAGTTATGAAAAACTAAGATGAAAAGAAATATTTTTATTGTCAGCATGAAAATTAGCTTTTACTTAGACTAACTCAGTAAAGGTTCATATATTCACAGACAAATCTTTAGTAAAAATACCGTATTAAAAAATTTACTTTTGTTTGTCTAACAGACTTGTAATTTTTACTGAAAGCTTGCCAAATATACTTAGTACATTCTAAGTTATGGTATGCATAATTTCATGGCTACTTGGTGGTTTGTCAAATTGAGAAAGCCCATAGGCATAGGGTTAAATGTCGTATATGGATTATATATACATGTGGTACTACTTTACGAGTGATATAAAAAAAGTGTAAACAAATTTCCTTTCCTTAGTAAAAAAAAATAAAATAAAATACTTGTATATACTTATAGCAAATAAAATGTAATATCAAAAAGTACTGTTAAATACTGTCAGCAACTCAGAACAGCCAAATCATTGAAAGTGACTCAAAACAAAATGTTGATTAATTTTGTCAAACTTTGCTTCGTGTTATTGCAGTATGTAACTAATCGAGAATAAGTCTATCGAATGGAAAATAGTACTTAAACTGTGATTGAACATGTGATTTACATGAGACAAAATGTAGATTCAAACAAAAACAAAATCATTCGATAAGAAGGAAACTAGTAAAACCTTGAAAATTAAGGAATATCTCTTCTCATAAGCAAAAGACATGGTGACAATGAGTATATAGCATATACAGAGAATTGAATATGCTGTATTAAAACAATTTTAAATAGACAAATAAGCAAGTCACATGACAACCACAGCCAATATAAAGTCTCTGGGATGGAATATATCAGAACTACATTTTGACATTGTTAAACATTTCATGGGTAGTGTGATGCCACTGGAAATTGATCATTTTTGGGAAAGGTATGTAACAGCCTTTTCCAGTTCAAAATATTCATACGCTCAGGCTATAAAGATGTGTTTAGAAGTTCAGGGATTTAGAATTTACAACACTGGGATATCCCTTTTACTTAAAGGCATTGGAAAACAAAAGAATATGGATCAACTTGGGGGACTAGACTCATCTAGAAAAAGACCTGAAAGAAGTTGTACTTTAGCCATGCTAAACAAAATATAGCATTGTACTGAGAATCCTTGATCACAAAGGTCATTAGAAAAATCCATTTATGTGCTATAGGCAATAGTACAGGATTTTCATCTGGAAAAGTGACACAAGTTGCTTTCACAACATATCAGTTCAACTGTTGCATACCTTAAAAGCTGGAGAATGAAAAGGGCATCCATGCTATTCCATATGAAAACATAATGGTCAAGTCACTGGACTAAGCACCTGTAGATTTCTGTGGAATCAGACTGTTGAAACAGGTACTGAGAAACTGTTATCCTCATACACTAGATGGATTATGGAAAGCTCTCAGGGAGGACAGTGTTTTAATGTAACATGCTTTATATTTGTTTAAAGAACCTTATAATGATCTTTATTTCTGTTTGTCTGGATAATAACTTCATTAATATCACTTTTTTTTCAGGGAAGGTCGAATGTTAGCTATTTTACAAGACCAGTCAATTGAAATCAGGTAGAGACAACTTCTGTTTATATTCATTCAATTTATTATTCAAATTAAACACTTCTCTTTCCATAATTTTCTCTTCAAGCAAACCAAATGAGCATGTATTTTGCAGTAAAAATATATTTTATTTTCATTCTTACTAAATTTGGCTAAGGGAAAACCCCACCATTTTAATTTTAATGAAAATTTTGTTGTAAATCATATAACAAATGTAATTTAACAGAATTTATTAATTCTAATCAGTGCTGTCACAATGGACAACTGAATGTTGAATCATGGTAGTTAAAGAAATATATTTATTTTCAGTGCTTAGGATATTAAAACACAATGCATTCTTTTATCTTATCCAAATATTTATACTACATCATCTAATAGCAGCATCACCTTATTATGAAAACTGTGATTAAGGTTCTTAAACGGTTTCATCAGTAACTTATAATAAACTGTATTCAGAAAATTTATATATCTTGCACAAAGGAAAGAGTCATTAATGGTTGCTTTGTTTTCAGTTAGTGAGCTTAGTGCAGGTACAAGACACACATCAAGTTTGTATGCATGGGAACCAAGAGTATTTAGAGTAGAACTGATGGGTAAACCATTTTTGTGTATTTTTGATGAGCCATACATACAGAAATTTGTCCTAGGGGTTTTGTTTCAAGCCTTATGTATGTGTCAGAATTTAAAATATAATTCTTTGCCAATTGTTAGAATTTAAAGGCTTTTAGTTATATTTTTTTAATAGCATAAATATATACTATGTTGTTGTTAGGCTTAGGATTCTTCTGCAGTAGGTGTCTGTAACTTGTTAATGATAAATTCAACGATGAATAAACAGCATGCACTTCACTTGTTTACAAAATAATATATATATTCAGAACAAGTTAACATATGTGCAGTAAATTATTCAACACTATAGATATTATGGCCATATCATAAATATTATATATGTAGTTCTTTCCTTCTTGTCAAATATCCACTTAGGCCTATTCAATTACTTTAGAATTTCAGTTGACAAGCCAAACTGTCTTCTCTATTTCTGTTGCAATAGTACTCTATGTGATTCACTAACTATTGTGGCATGAGTTACCATAATCATTTGGTCTTCTTTCTTTCGAAGATTCTTTGTTCCTTTTGTCAAAGTGCACTCAGACTGATTCAGTTACTTTAAAACCATGCTTTGATGTAATAAAATTATTTTTTTATCTCCTTTTCTACTGTTAGTTTCACTCTAACATATTAAACGTTAGGCCTATCACATCTACAGTCTTAACTTCATGCCAACTTTATTCTCTTTCACTATTATATGTCTACCTGCCTTCTATATTCTCAACATCAATGAATTATTGACAAAACTTCCTACATTCATCTGCTTTTAACTCTTATTATAACAAAAACTAAACAATATTGTTGCGTCAGCGAGGTCATGTGACTAGTATCACGCCACCTATTCTCTAGAAATATCCTGTTCCTTCGTGTATGCCTTAGCATTTACTAGATTGGGGGGTAGTCTGGTATATATAAGAT